TGCTGGGATTTTGGGGTGTCCCAGTGCCAGCATTCCCAGGAATGTGCTGGGATTTTGGGGTGTCCCAGTGCCGGTGATTTCAGGAATGTGCTGGGATTTTGGGGTGTCCCAGTGCCAGCATTCCCAGGAATGTATTGGGATTTTGGGGTGTCCCGGTACCAGTGATCTCAGGACCACGATGGGATTTTGGGGCATCCCAGGCACACAGCGGGACTTTACAACATCCCAGGAGCTGGAATTGATGATCCCACACATCCCAAAATCCACAATCACTCCCTACCCCACCCTCAACCCCCAATATCCCCATTTTACCCCCACTCCCTCCCCGGGGACCCTCAGGCCGCCTCACCCCTTGTCCCCAACATTCCCGGGAATACCTGGGATACAAACAACACCCGGAAAGGCGCGGGGTAGCGGGGAGCGGCTCACCTGGCGGCCCAGGTGATGGGGATGCGGTGGGTGGCGTAGACGGTGAAGGCCAGCGGGCAGGTGAGCAGCCTCGCCTCCTGCGCCGCGCCCAGCTCGCGGCTCCCGGGCGCGGCCGTCTGGAAATCCGCGTTGAAGGTGCTGCAGTAGAGCTCCACCAGGTTGAGGATGGCGGCCGTCAGGCTCTCCACGATCCTCTCTGCGGGAAAGGCGGAGGTTCCCTCAGGGATCTGTGGATCCCTCGGGGATCCGGCGGTTCCTCGGGGAAACGCGGGCAGGGATCCATGAATCCTTGAGGGATTGTTCAATTCCTCAGGGAAACATGGACAGGGATCCATCAATCCCTCAGGGATCCATTGATCCCTCAGGGATCCATCGATTCCTTGGGGATCCATCAATTCCTCGGGGATCCATCAATCCCTCAGGGAAACATGGGCAGGGATCCATTGATCCCTCAGGGAAACACGGACCGGGATCCATCAATCCCTCAGGGATCCATTGATTCCTTGGGGATCCATCAATCCCTTGAGGAAACACGGGCAGGGATCCATCAATCCCTCAAGGATCCATCAGTCCCTCAGGGATCCATGAATCCTTCAGGGAAACATGGACAGAGATCCATAGATCCCTCAGGGAAACATGGGCAGGGATCCATAGATCCCTCAGGGAAACATGGGCAGGGATCCATAGATCCCTCAGGGATCCATAGATCCCTCAGGGAAACATGGGCAGGGATCCATAGATCCCTCAGGGATCCATCCCTCAAATCTGGATTTGGGACCCCCGCGCTGCTTCCCGCCGACCCAGGGATGAATTAATGACAGCGGGAATTCCAAACTTCCCGTTTGGAGGAAGGGGAATTCCAGGTTTCCCATCTGGAACGCACAAGGAGCAACAACACCCCCCAAAATCCTCCTTTTTTTTTAACCAGACCGGTTTCCAACCCGTTTTTTGGCCCGGAGAGTTGAAGGAGCAGGAGGAGGAGGAGGGGTTGGAGATGAAAAGCGCCACGAACTTGAGCCCAGAAAGGGGAGCAGGAGAAGAGAAAGAAGAAATACCTCGATTTTCTCTCTTGGCCAGAACATTTGGATCCTGTGGAGGGAAAGAAAAAAAAAGAAAACCAAAACGAAACAAAACACACAAAAAAGTGAGAAACCACAAAAAATAAAAAAAAAAAATTAAAAAAATGGAGAAATCACATTAAAAAAAAAGAAGAAACCACAGGAAAAAAAAAAGAAAGAAGAGAAACCACAAGAAACCCCTGAGCTGCAGCCCGGAGCTGCCAAGGCGGATTTTACGTAACCACCGCGAGCTGCCAGATCCAGGCTGCTCGCGGCTATTCAGGGATTTTCCACGTGGTGGAAAGGAGGGAAAAGAGCCAGATGTGAGGAGTTCCTTTTTCTCTCCTCACAGCTCCCGGCCCTGCAGGTGCCCCTGGCTCACCTTCTGGATTTTGGGCTGCATGCGGGACGGGCAGGGCGGCATCTGGTTGAGGGCGGCGGTGATTTCCTGGGATTCCACGGCCGCCAGGGCATTGCAGATGGCCATGACCGACTGGATCACCCGCTCGGCTTTCAGCGGGAATTCTCCCTGCCAGGGGGAGAGGGGCTGCAATGGGATCTCCCCCCAACAGCCCAGGGATCCGGCCCAGGAATGGAGCGATTTGTGCCTCAGTTTCCCCGTTTTCCCCATCTCTTTAGGTGGATTTTAGGAAAATTGAATTTTCCCCCCTGGAGGGTGTTGGGTGTTGGAAAAGGCTCCTCAGGGATTGGGCATGGCCAGAGCTTCAGGAGAGTTTGGAAAATGCTCCCGGGGCTGCCCAGGGTGGGATTTTGGAGTGTCTGTGCAGGGCCAGGAGTCGGGATTGATAATCCTTATGGATCCATTCCCGCTCCAGATATTCCAGGATTCCTGGCCTTTCTCTGACACAGAATCCCACGAGGAGAAGGGGAAGGAATCCACAGGAAAGGAAAAGTGACCCCAAAACCCCCCAAACCCCGCAAAGCACCGCTGGCCTCACCTCGGCCGCCAGGAACGCGTCCACCTCATTGTGGAAGGTGTCAAAGAGGAGGCTCAGGGCCTGCCTGGGGGACAGGGGACAGCGCTCAGCCCCATCCGGGGGACACCTGGGGACAGATCCCCCACCCAGAGGACACCTGGGGACACCTGGGGACAGATCCGCCACCCAGGGGACACATGGGGACACCTGGGGACAGTTCTCCCACCCAGGGGACACCTGGGGACAGTTCTGCCACTCAGGGGACACCTGGGGGACACATCGGGACAGATCCCCCACCCAGGGAATGTCTGAGGACATGTGGGGACAGTTCTCCCGCCTGGGGGACACCTGGGGACAGTTCCCCTGGCCAGGGGACATCTGGGGACAGTGCCATGGTGTCCCCGGGGTGGGGACAGTGCCGCGGTGTCCCCGGGGTGGGGACAGTGCCGCGGTGTCCCCGGGGTGGGGACAGTGCCATGGTGTCCCAGCCGTGTCACCAGTACCTGCTGATGGTCTGTTTGAGGGGCCGCTCCTGCAGGTGGATGTGGTGGTTGAGGGTGGAAGGGCTCTGGTCATCGCTGGCCTGGGGACACCGAGAGGCTGAGCGGGGGTGACACCGAGCCCCGGTGACCCAGGGAGGTGACACCAACCCGTCAATGTCCCAAGAAGGTGCCACCAACCCCCTGGTGACTGAGGTAGGTGCCACCAAGCCCTGGTGTCCCAGGGAGGTGCCACCAACCCCCAGCGTCCCAGAGAGGTGGCACCAACCCCTGGTGTCCCAGGGGGGTGACACCAACCCCCCGATGTCCCAGGGAGGTGACACCAACCCCCCGCTGTCCCCACGCACCGTGCGGGCCAGCTCGCTGCGCGCTGCCTTCCTCCGCAGCAGCTGCAGCCGGATGTCGATGTCGAATTTCCTGCAGTGCTGGATGTGCTCGTGGCTGCCCAGCGTGTGTTTGCTGCGGGGACAGGGCCACAGGCTCATTCCACATCCCAAAATCCCACCTGGAGTGCCCCAAAATCCCTCCTGGAGTGTCCCATCCCAAAATCCTGCCTGGAGTGCCCCAAAATCCCACCTGGAGTGCCCCAAAATCCCACCTGGAGTGCCCCATCCTGAAATCCCAGCCAGGCCTTGGCTGGGCCCAGGGCGGCCCTGCCTGCACAGGGACTTTGTGGCAGCAGGAAACCCAGAGAATGAGGAATTGTTTTCCCTCCTTCCCCTCCGGAGCCGGGCCCAGCCTGCCAGGACCTGCCCAGGGATCCTCGGGAAGCAGGGCACGGATCCGAGCGGCTGGAGGGGGCTCTGAGAGCGGGATTGGGGTGAATCTTGGAGCTGGGAATGACAGGGAGAACCCTGGAGCTGGGAATGCCATCCTGATTCCCCCATCCAGACCCCCCTGGACCCCTCCAGCCGCGGGTCCCTCGCTGGCCTGGATCAATCCCACGGGAATGCCGTGCCAGCGGCTCAGGATGCCGGGCAGAGCTCCGGGGTTTTGGCACTTCCAGCATCTCCTCGGCCATGGGAAGATGTGGGAAGAAAAGATCGGCCACAAAAGGGGCTTTGTGCTCCCAGAGGAGCCGGGAAATCTCCTTTGGGGTCTGCTCCCTGCAGGAAAAGGGGATCATTCCTTTGGGAATGGCTGGATGGATCCGGCCCGGGCAGCTCCGAGACCCCCAGGGCTGCTGCAGAGACCTGGGCACATCTGGGCACATCTGGGCACACCTGGGCACATCTGGACAGGGCTGTTTGGAGCCACAAGGGCTCGGCACCCACAGAACAGCCCCTTTGGTGGCCCTAAATCCCCTTTGGTGGCCTCAAATCCCCTTTGGTGGCCCTGAATCCCCTTTGGTGGCCCCAAATCCCCTTTGGTGGCCCTGCAGCCCCTTGGTGCCTCCCCTGGTCCCAAGCATTCCCAGCCGTCCCTTTAGATCCCAAACCGGCGGCTCCTGTGGCTCAGCTCCCACGGAATTCCCGCGGCCGGGGCATCTCTCCAGCAGCAGGAGCTGGCTCCAGCCCCGTGAAAGGCCGGGAATGCCGTGGCTGCTGCTTCTCCCTCTGCAGAGAGCTCTCCCAAACCCCCAAACCCCCTGGAAAAACAGAATTCCTCCAGGAAAGGCAGTGAGGGAATGAGGGACAGCTCTTCCCTGCTATTCCTGAGCCCCCCAGATCCCTGTCACACCTTCTCCCGGGATTTAGGGAGAAGCCGGGCTCCGCTCCCTGACACGGCTTTTTACGGAATTCTCCTCCAAAAAGCATTTTTGGCAGCTCCAGGCTTCCCAGCTGGTTTTCCAGGCGCCTGGGGGTCAGCCTGACGGATACCACCGGGAACGACATTCCCAACATGCTGCTCTTGGCAGGAGCAGCTCCAGAGGCAGGAAAAGGAACGGAGAAGCTCCTGCTGTGCTCACCGACATCAAACCTGGGTGTTCATCACACCCTGGAGCACCTGGGATGGATTTTCCCTGGTTTTTTCCTGTTTTTCCTGTTTTTTCTCTGTTTTTCCTTTGATTTTTCTGTTTTTTCCCTGTGTTTTTCCCTGTGTTTTACCCTGTTTTTCCCTGTTCTGCCCTGCTTTTTCCCTGTTTTTTCCATTTTTTCCTTTTCCTTCCCCCTTTTTTCTGTTTTTTCCCTGTTTTTTCCCCATTTTTTCCCTGGTTTCCCTCTGTTTTTTCCCATTTTTATCCCAGTTTTTCCCACGGCCCCTCACTTCTGCAGGAATTCCTCCAGGCCGCAGATTTTGAGCAGGAAATCCTCGACGTCCACAGCGTGCAGCTCGTCGTGGGTGTAGCACAGGGCCTGGTAAATCAGCAGGTCCACGGTGGAGGAGCCTGCGGGGATAGGAATCCTGAATTCCCGAATCCTCGGGAACGGCAGGAATGGCGGGAGTGGGTGGGAAACAGTGGGGGTGGTGGGAATGGCAGGACTGGGGCAACAGCGGGAATGGCAGGAATGATGGGAATACTGGGAATGCTGGGAATGCTGGGAACTGTGGGAATGCTGGGAACACCAGGAGCAGTGGGAATGCTG